TTCCTTAACAGCAACCCAGTTACATTTTGGCCATTTCGAAGCTTCACGCGGTAGAGCACGTTGATCACACCGCCCCCCTCTATTTTATCCCAGCTTTCAACCTCACCACCTGGGCCATCACCAAGCGCACGGCGAACCGAAGCGCGCAGTACCGGGACCGATGCGTGAAGATCGCTTCCATATGGCAGCGGAGGTATGTTGCCACTCATCCATAAGCTTGCTTTGCCCAAGGTCAAGATGCTAAATTCATCTTCCACCGAGCTCACCACGAACCCCAACAAGATGACTAGGAAAATTACCACCACACAGTAGAATGTAAGGCGAATCAGAACAGGCTTCTCGCATCGGCGCAGGCGCAGGAGCCAAAGGCGGGCTGTGCCTTGAAGCAAGCCCTGCGCAGCTGGATCGTTGCCCATGGCAAGCCCCTTCAGAGTCCCAGGCTTCTCAAAATAACTCCTTAGGGTTTAGGGTTTAGGGTTTTGGGTTTTGGTTCTCACGAAGTAGCAGCCCTTCGAGACCTAAAATAAGGCATTATGCCCTTAAGGATTGTATGGGGGTAACTTGGGAAATTGCCATATTAAGAACCAATCGCATTGCCAACATCTGATGGACCCCGACAAAAGCACCTGGAGTTCAAGACATTGGCGTTTCGATTCCTAAGACACTTCTAGCTACGTCCAGCAGATCTCTTTTAGAGAGCCCTTGCTAGAAGGACCTAAGAAAGGAACTTCCATGTTTGATGAACAAAGTCTGAATGCTGTACCTGGAGATTCATATGCAGTTATATGTGGATTGTTAGAATGCCAGATGTACCTCCACAAGCTACCCTTGAGAAATGTCCCCATATATTGCAAAGAATCCCTCTACAACCCCCACCTAGCCCCATGTAACCCTATGGAGGTCCTCAGGGGGTGTCCATGTTAGTTTGCCGGAGGGCAATACTTTAGGTGAGAAAAATGTTCCCTCTGTCCCCACACGCTAGGTTTAAGTATAGCTGGCCCAAAACTCAAAATCCTAGACCCCAGACCCTACACCAAAAAAAACTACCAAACGCCAAGCCCCGAGCTCTAGTGAACCTTTCGCGCGTGGAACCGTATCTGGGCTATATCCCCCTGAATACCTCCTGTAATACTCCCCCTAAGTAATCCCCTATACAACCCCCTCTCAGGAGCTTAGACCCTAAACCCTAATCCCTAAACCCTAAACCCTAAACCCTAAATCCTAAACCCTACACCCTATATAGTCTCCTATATAAACCTTCTTTAAGGAGTGTAGACTATGGCTTATGCGGCCTGCCGGTGTAGAGACGCTGACCAATCATGTCCATGTTGGTGATCCCTTGCCTCGGCGTTTAGAGTTTAAGGGGGTTATATAGGGGAATATAGGTGCATGGGCTTCTATAGGGATGATGGAAAAGAATATGGAAACTACTGTTTAGGGTTTAGGGTTTAAGGGTTTAGGAGTTCAGGGGTTTAGGGGTTTAGGGGTTTAGGGGTTTAGGGGTTTAGGTTTCAGGGGTCTTGTGACTTAGTCACGAGGGTTCGGTGACTTAGTATCTAGGGTTTTGTGACTTAGTAACTAGGGTGTAGGGACTTAGTAACTACTTATAACTTATCAGTGGGCTTAGACCTCTAGCCATATCTCCTCTGATTGAACTTACGTAAGCTAGCCCAGTTGTACGCAGGGTTATAAGCCCGCGTATCAATCCCATGAACCGTCATGTAGGGGACGCGCTGTATGAGGAGGAGCAACTGGCTCGTAAGGTACCCTTCAAGGGGTCAGAGGGATATGTATGTGTAACACATAATGTATAAGAATTGCTATCCAAAGATTGGGTTTGGCCTGTAGGCTAGTTGAGTGCTGCCGCTAGTAAGGTTTGAAGCTTAGCCAAACCCTGAACCTTCAACTCCAAACCCTTAGCCCTAAACCCTCAATCCTTGACCCCAAACCCTTAACACTCTGAACCCTAAAACCCAATCCCGAAACCCTAAACCTTAAACCCTTAACCCTAGACCCTTAACCCTAAACCGCGAACCCTAAACCCTTAACCCTAAACCCCAAACCCTAAACCTTGAAAGACTGTACAACCCCAACTGCCGATTCTTCTGCTTTGCTGCCTTAGGTCAAACAAGAAGCGTGTGGAATGAGGCGTTCAGGGATTAGGGTCTAGGGTTTAGGGTTCAAGGTTTAGTGTTTAGGGTTTAGAGTCTGGGGTTTAAGGCTTTAAGTTTAGGGCTTTAGGTTTAGGGTTTGGAGTTTACAGCTTAGGGTTTAGGACACATCCAAACCTGGTATGGATAAGCTCAAGTTACATCCAAGTAATGTCCCATAGTCTCTTGCATCTCGACACTGGCCTATGGGTTACGCTAGTGTTTCGTAACATACCTACCTAGTATTCAAACCCCACAGTTTTCATACCGCTGCCCAAAAGCCGTAGAGGATTCCCTGGAGATATGCGAGATTGATACCGCGCTTATGATGCAGCAACCTTTGCTGATGTCCACGATGTTCACAATGCCCGCAGTAAAGACACTGCTGGGATGTCCGCGCGTAGAAGACTTCTCCATCTGTAGGAATACCCTGGTGCAACCTTTAGGGTTTAGTGGGTGTACTGGGGTTTAGGGTTAAGGGTTTAGGGTAGTAGGGTTGAGGGTTTAGGGTAGTAGGGTTTAGGGTTTGGGGTCCAAGCTTTCCACACTAGGTTGGAGAGCTTGGCTAGATTCACTCGTTCCATGCAGTGTGCAAGTAAAGTGAACAACGTACCTGTTCAAGGAAGAGATGCTGACATAAACTACAGCCCATATATAATGGACATGGGTTCCTTACTAGGGGTTATATTAGGGACTATACAAAACTACAAGAGAGACCCCTACATCCACTGTTAAGACTGTTAAGGACCCCTTAATCAGGCTCATATCGACAGTAGCTCACGTTCTAGCAATCCCCTATCTGCTTTGGGGCCCTTAGGAAGTCACGGATCTTGGATTTTGAGGACTTCTGTTTGGAAGCCAATTTCTTGGACTCAGAAGTTTTGACCGGGTTAAAGGTGTTAGGTTTGGGCTTTGGGTTTGGGGTCTAGGGTTCAGGGTTTATGGCTCAGGGGTTTAGGTTTTAGGGGTTTACAGGTTTAGGGTTTAGGGGTTTGAGGTTAAGAGTGTTGCTAAAACGGCCCCAAATGCTCCCAACAGCAAGCCCGGCTGAAGACTTGTTCCAGTTCATGCCTCTCTCGTCTCTAGCATCCCTATAAGAATGATCCCAACTTTGGGGCAGTCACATGGCTTTGCTCACCCCCCGAAACCCGACATCCTAAAAGTCGTACTCCAAAACCTAAACCCTTAAACCCGAAGCCCAAAACCCCAAAACACCAAAACC